CCCCAGGCGCTCCTCCTACTTCTGGCTGTGCAACGCGCTGGGCGTGTACTGCCCCGTGCAGTGGGAGTACGGGCGCCTGAACCTGCTCTACACCGTGGTCTCCAAGAGGAAGATCATCCGGCTGGTGGAGGCGGGCGCCGTCAGGTGAGGGCTGCACAGGCTGCTGGGCCGGGTGGGCGGGGGAGGCTCCACGCTGCACCCTGCTGGTCACGGCCGGTGTTGCCGTTTCAGGGACTGGGACGACCCACGGCTCTTCACGCTGACGGCCCTGCGCCGCCGAGGTTTCCCCCCCGAGGCCATCAACAACTTCTGTGCGCGGGTAGGTGCCCCGGGGCGGGGGGGGGCGGGCGCTGGCTGCCCCTCCTGGGCGGGAGCTGAGCGCAGCCTGTGCCCGCAGGTGGGGGTGACGGTGGCGCAGACGACGATGGAGCCCCACCTGCTGGAGGCGTGCGTGCGGGAGGTGCTGAACGAGCGTGCCCCCCGCGCCATGGCTGTGCTGGAGCCCCTTCGAGTCACCATCACCAACTTCCCCACCCAGAAGGTGAGGCTGGCGGCGCGGGGAGGGGCGCTGGGGGCTGGTAGGCCAGGGGCTCTCCTGGCTTCAGGTCTGGGGCGCGAAGGGGCCCAGCGTGGTCCCGCTGCTGGCGCTGACCTGCTTGCTTCCCCGCCAGGCCCTGGAAGTTCTTGTGCCCAACTTCCCAGCCGACGAGACCAAGGGCTTCCACAAAGTCCCCTTCCAGGCCATCATCTACATCGAGCAGAGCGACTTCAGGGAGGTGAGCGGGGGCGGGGGCCACCTGCATTGCCCTGGCTCCAGGGCTCCTCCGAATGGGACGTGGGGGGAACGGGTACTGGGAGCTGGGGTCCATGCAGGGAGTGGGGCTGGACCGGTCAGTCGGGGCACCTGCCAGCCACCAAACGGGAGTGCTCGGCTGACGGGGGGTGGGGACGGGGACGGAGCTCGGCTGACGGGGGATGGGCTCTCCCCTTGCAGGTGATGGACAAAGGCTACAAGCGTCTGGCACCCGGCCAGCCAGTGGGGCTGAGACACGCCGGCTACGTCATTGCTGTCCAGAACGTCGTCAAGGTGGGCTGGGGCCAGCGGCCAGCTCTGCCGCTGCCTTGGGGTCGCCTGCGGTTACACTGATGTGCCAGCCACCTGCCCTGGCTCCTGGGGGCGGCCCGGTGCGACCTGCCTCGTCACCGCCAGGGGGCGCTCCTTCCGATCGCGGTCAGCTACGTGGTTGGGCAGAGGGCGGGGGAGCCAGGACACCTGGGTTCCGAGGAGGGTGGGGTGGGGGGAGCCAGGATGCCTGGGTTCCGAGGAGGGCCGGGGGAGGAGCCAGGATGCCTGGGTTTCGGGGAGGGCTCGGCTGTCGCTCGCTGTCGCTGGGCCTCCCCTGCGATAAGGAGACCGGAGCTGGCCTGCTCCCCTGCGCTCAGTCCCGGCCGGGCGCAGCTGCTGTCCTGGAGCCGCGGGAAGCTCTGCAGAGGGGCAGGAACCGGCACAGGCAGCCGGTAGCCTTGGCTCTCCAGCCCCCAGCCGCTCGGCATGCGGCAGAGCCCCCTTCTCTCCAGGCTGGCTGTGTGGTGGGCACAGGCGGGAGGCCGTGGCGTTGGCCCCTGACGTCCTCTTGCTCCGTGCTCAGGACGCCGGCGGGCAGGTGATGGAGCTGGAGGTGACCTGCACCAAGTCGGACGCTGCGGAGAAGCCCAAAGCCTTCATCCACTGGGTGTCGGAGCCGCTGGTGTGTGAAGTGCGGCTCTACGAACGGCTGTGAGTACGGGGGGCGCTGGCTCAGGGCTGTCCCGGAGCGCGGGGGGCGGGTGCCCCAGCCCTGCTGTGTGGAGCCACGCGCTGGGCACAGCTAGCGGCACCCAGCTCCACTAAGCAGGTGAACCCGGAGCTGCCACTTCAGCAGCTTTGCTGCTCTCGCCAGCTGCCCTGGCAGCCGCAGGCACCTCGGTGCCAGCCCCTGCCTGCTGGGAAACCCACCAGAGATCTCGGCGCTTCTGCCCCCGCAGCGGCCTGGGCCCTGGTGGCTGCTGCTAGGTCAGTGGGCCCCCCGGCACGGCAGAGGGTGGCTGGAGGGTTGGCACAGGGTAGGACCCAGCCAGGCTGAGCAGCTGGTCGCCGCAGGGGGCTGGGGAGGGAGTTAAGGGATTCCAGCCCAGGGACTCCTGCCCCTGGGGCCCCCGCCCCGGCCCTGACTGGCCCTGTCTTATTTTCAGGTTCTTGCACAAAAACCCCGAGGACCCTGCAGAGGTGCCAGCTGGATTCCTGAGTGACCTCAACCCTGTGAGTGCTGGCAGGTGCTGCGGGCTCGGCTCCAGCGAGCCAGGCCTCGCTGCTGTGCCAAGGTTCCCCGCCAGGTGCCCCGAGTACAGCCCTGCAGCCAGGCCACTGCCGCGGCTTTCCTCCTCTGGCTAGGGACGTGCTGCCCCGTGTGTGGACGTCTCCGCTGGAGTGCAGGGCCAGCGGCCTGGGGCCTTGCCGGGGGAGTCCCGGAGTGGGAGAGTCTGAGTGGCGCTGAGCACGACCCACTGGGCAGAGCCGGGGCGGGTTCCACCCAGCCGGGGAGTGAGGAGAGCCCCCCTCTCCGGGGAGCCATTGGCACAGGGGATACGGACACACCTCCCCCGGTTCTCTGCACGCCGGCAGCTCAGGGCTAGAGACAGGATGAGTGAGAGATCCCGAGCTGAGCAGCCTGCCCTGCCGGCCCCCCAGGGTCTCCCTTCCCTCTGCCACTGGGCTCTCCCCTGCCACGTCACTTGGAAGGTCCCGGCTGTTGGGGGGAGGGGGGTGCCAGCAGGGCTGGGGCCATACATGCCTGTTGCCCAGCCGCTGAGTGGTGCCCCTCTCCCCTGGCTTTCGGTTGAGCCGGGGGCCCAGCCGCTGAGCAGTGCCCCTCTCCCCTGGCTGTGGGGTGAGCCGGGGGCCCAGCCGCTGAGCGGTGCCGCCCACTCCTGGCTGTGGGGTGAGCCGGGGGCCCAGCCGCTGAGCAGTGCCCCTCTCCCCCGGCTGTGGGGTGAGCCGGGGGCCCAGCCGCTGAGCAGTACCCCTCTCCCCTGGCTGTGGGGTGAGCCGGGGGCCCAGCCGCTGAGCGGTGCCGCCCACTCCTGGCTGTGGGGTGAGCCGGGGGCCCAGCCGCTGAGCGGTGCCGCCCACTCCTGGCTGTGGGGTGAGCCGGGGGCCCAGCCGCTGAGCAGTGCCCCTCTCCCCCGGCTGTGGGGTGAGCCGGGGGCCCAGCCGCTGAGTGGTGCCCCTCTCCCCTGGCTGTGGGGTGAGCCGGGGGCCCAGCTGCTGAGCGGTGCCGCCCACCCCTGCCTGTGGGGTGAGCCGGGGGCCCAGCCGCTGAGCGGTGCCGCCCACTCCTGGCTGTGGGGTGAGCCGGGGGCCCAGCCGCTGAGCGGTGCCGCCCACCCCTGGCTGTGGGGTGAGCCGGGGGCCCAGCCGCTGAGCAGTGCCCCCTCCGCAGGACTCGCTGCGCGTGATCGACGGCGCCCTGGCTGACAGATCCGTCTGCTCCGCCAAGCCCTTGGACAAGTTCCAGTTTGAGCGGCTGGGCTACTTCTCGGTGGATCCCGACAGCACGGAGGGGAAGGTGAGTCCTTGGGGTCTCTGTCGCTCGGCTCTTGGGGGCTGGGCCAGCCGGTGTCCCTGCCCCGGGGCTCCCAGGCTCACTCAGTGAGTCTCCCTCTCCTCCCACAGATGGTGTTTAACCGGACGGTGACGCTGAAGGAGGACCCCGGCAAGGTGTGAAGGAGCCGCTGCTGCCGCCTTGATGGCTCTGGCTGTGCCCAGACCCGTTCTGGGAGCGCCTGGTCCCTCTGGGCACAGGGAGAGTGCGACCCATGAACAAAGGGCCCGGCCCACGCACGAGGGCCACAGCTGCCTTAAGCAAACCCCGCGGGGCTGGCGCATCTCGCCGCAATAAACGAGCACTGGAGCTGCCTTCCCGCCTGCGTCACTGGGGCGGGGACCCAAGGGCCTCTGTGCTGGAGGCTCCCCCAACCTCACTGCCCCCCAGGCCTAACCATGGGGAGGAGCCTCAGGCTGGCCCTGCGCGGGGAGCTGCCCTTCCCGCCTGCCCCATGTGCCAGGCTGTGCCGAGCTTTATGGGCTGGAATCTTGCCCCTCTCCCCCCACCCCGCCCCCCAAACGGCTCATGGGCTCAGGCGCAACCTGCCCTCCTACTGCCTGTCCCTAAAGCCAGCATGAGGGGACAGCCAGGCCTTGGGCCGCCTCCTGGGGCAGGATGCAGGGGGTCCTGGCCCCTCTCTCTGGGGGAAGGGGGCTGCAGCCAGCTGCCTGTTGTGGGCGGGGGCTCTGGGGTCAGAGTGCTGTAGTGGGCACTGGTTGTGTGTGAGGGGTTCTCTGCCGCCCCTCGCTGGAGCCAGGCCTGGCTGCAGAGCTCAGCACGGCCCTGGGCAAGGGGCTACTCCGGTCAAAGGTGAGGTCACGGCCACTCATGCAGCCTGCTGGGGGCCAGAGATTAGGGGGAGCCTAACCTAATGTCCCTGGTTTTACACAGGACACCACACAGCAGGGCACTTGGCCACAGCCCTTGGGCTGGCTGCAGAGCCACCCCCCGGCAACCCCTCGTCATCCCTGGGGACCAGAGCCAGAGGGCTCGGGGAGGCGGAGAGCACCCTCAAAGGGCCAGGCCGGCCCTGGATCCCCACCCCCGGGCTGCTCTGTTCCACTGGAGGGCCAGGCAGCGGCCGAGTGAGGGACGGAGATTTTCAGGGTACGTCCACACAGCACCTGAGCCGCGGCTGGCCCAGGCTACGGGGCAATAAAACTGCAGTGTAGACGTCTGGGCTCGGATGGAGCCGGGCTCCGGGCCCCTGCTCAGGCTCCAGCCCCAACCTGAACATCCACACGGCAATGTTTAGCCCTGTAGCCTGAGCCTGGCCCTGACCCAGCCCAGCCCCAGTCACCCCGCGGGACTTATACTCCCTCAGAAAGCAGCCCCCAAAGGGGGCAGGGGAGGCCCCTCTGCTCAGCCTGATGCTGCTGGGAGGGCACAGGTGCCGCCCGCAGTTCCCATGAACGAGGCTGGGTCACGTCTTCCCGCTTGCTAAGTCTCCATCACGTGCCACAGCAGCCCAGCCAGCAGGACCCGGCTCCAGCCACGCAGCGGGCTGGCCCCCGGCCCCCAGCTCTGCCTTCAGAGTCGCTTCTTGGCAGGTTTGGTCGCATCCCACAGGAGGCTGGGAGCTAACGACACCGTTCGATCCAGGGCCGGTCCCTGCTGTGGCCTGCCCAGCCCTGCCTGCTGGCAGCAGCCCCTCCTCGGAGCCGGCAGGGCAGGGCGGGACATGCCTGGCTGCGGGGAGTGTCTGGGCACCCGGCCGCCAGAGGAAGCAGCCTAGGCTGCCCACATGAGCCTCAGTGGGGAGCAGAGTCACCCAGGGCTCCAATCCCCAAGTGTGGGTGGGGGTGTCCCAGCAGCACCCAGCTGTGCCGGGCCAGGGGCCCAGGAGCCAGGCACTGCCTATGCCATGTGGCCTGGTGGAGTGAAGATGGAACCAAGCAGCTGGCTGGGGGAACGGACTAAAAACTCTGCATGGGGCCAGGGCTGCAGACCTGGTGCCCAGGAGTGAGGGGGAACACCATGGGGAGGAGCTGTGGGCAGCCTGCTTACAGCACTGGGTGAGGGTCATGGGGTGCCAGGTTCTCCTGGGGCGTGAACCACACTGCAGCGATGCCCCCCAGGGCCAGGCCTTCGCCAGGGGCAGTTCTCAGGAGGGGAAGGACGTGAAAGGGGGAGGAGGAGCAGGGTGAAGCCAGGGGCCCTGCAGCAGGACAGGGGTGGGAGGAAGGGAGAGGCCAAGTTACTTAGGGTGGCATTTACCTGTGTCCTGAAAGCCGGCCGGGCCCAGCCTGCTCCAGGGCTCCTGTTTGCATGTGCCTGGGGCATCTGGTTGGGTCCAAGCCCATGTCTGGCCAGTGGCTCCTTGGGGCCATTCTGGAAGCTGGGCAGAAAGCTAATGTGCCTAGTCTTCAAAGGGGTAACTGGGGTGTCAGCCTGACAGCGACCCCAGGCAGGATCATGGAACAACTGCTCCGGGTCTCCATTACTAAGCAACCAAAGGAGGGTAATGTAATGAATGCAACTCAGGATGGGTTTATGGAGCATATATCAAGTTTGTCTGACAGGATCTCCTTTAGGATGAGACGGCAAGGCTGACGATGAAGGTAACAGTGTAAGGCTTTGAGGTAGCAGCACGTTAAAAAGGTAACATTCCCATGGCCCCCGCATCACGGGTTATGAACTGGCTAACGGCTCAGTCTCCAGATGTAACTAGCTGGGGAAGCATCACAGGGCAGGTCTGTTTCCCGGGGTCCTGCAGGGATCACTAGATTTTTGTCAATGACCTGGAAGAAAACACAAAATCATCACTGATAAAGTTTGCAGATAACACAAAAATTGGGGGAGTGGTAACTAGGGCAAAGGACAGCTCCTCGCTACGGAGCGATCTGGGTCACTTGGTAACACTGTTTGAATACAGCTACATGTAAGTGTACACATCTAGAACATGAGAACGGCCAGACTGGGTCAGACCAATGGTCCATCTAGCCCAGTAACCTGTCTGCCGACAGTGGCCAATGCCAGGTGCCCCAGAGGGAATGAACAGAACAGGGAATCGTCAAGTGATCCATCCCCCGTCGCCCATTCCCAGCTTCTGGCAAACAGGCCAGGGACACCATCCCTGCCCATCCTGGCTAATAGCCATTGAGGGACCTATTCTCCATGAACTTCTCTAGCTCCTTTTTTGAACCCTGTTATCGTCTTGGCCTTCACAACATCCCCAGGCAAGGAGTTCTACAGGTTGACTGTGTGTTGTGTATGTCGCACTGATGTGCTGCGGGTCCAGGTCTGGTGCCCACAATGCCAGGAGGACGTTGATAAATGGCAGAGGGCTCAGAGCAGAGCCAGGAGATGATGAAAGGGTTAGAAACCTGCCTTGCAGTGACAGCGGCGAGGGGCTCAGTCTGGTGAGCGCCCCCACGAGCCAGCCCGGGGCGAGGGAGCCCAGCCTGTCCCTGCCCCACGGGAACAAATCGTGGGCGATGGGCTGTTGGCTCCGGCAGCGAAGGGGAACCCAGCCCTGGGGCTGGAAGCTGATGCCAGGCAGACAGGGAAAGAGGCGAGTTTGGACAGGGAGGGGAATTAACGCTGGGTCAGTTTCCAGCGGCCGCGGTGGGGTCTCCAGGCCGGGCCATGGTTTGGGGGGAGCGGATGATGCTAACGGGGGCAGGGCTCAGGACAGTTAACACTTACAACGGGAGCCCGGCTCAGGCTCGGCGCATTCCAAGGATCCCAGCCCCGGGGCCTGCCTGTGGGTAACGGGGGTGGGGTGAGGAGAGGTAGGGAGCAGCCTGGGCCCCGGCTGGTGTGGGGGGACCCTCCAGCAGCCCTGGCCCTGCACCCAGCGGGGATGCACTGGCCGGAGCAGGATGTGCCTTAACAAGCCCCCCATCTCCTAACAGCCTCTGCCCTGCTCAGCTCTTCTGGGCACCCTCACCCCGGGTCACCCGCTGGCACCACAGCCAGCAGCGGTGCGTGGGCTGGGGGCCTGCTCCTGGCAGGCTGGGCCCGCCGCAGAGAGGGAGTAAGTGCCCCACTTCCAGTGGCAGGAGAGATCCTGGGGGAAGGAACAAAGAGAACAGGCTGCCAGGCGCTGGTCTGGAGAAGGATGGCCCCGGGTCCGGGCACTCGCCTAGGACTGACCTTTCGGTTTAGTTCCTGGCTCTACCCAAGGCCTTGCGTGGCTGGGAAAGCGGCTTAGGCCCACATCCTTGAGCCAGGGAGGTTTTTCTTTAAGCTTATGGAAGGCTCTGGGCTTCAGTTCCATCTGTCAGTGGGGATGATGTCCAGCCTGACCTCCCCCGGGGGCGTGAGGTTCGGTGCGTTGGAGTCGGGAGGTGCCCAGGTACCACGGCGATGAGGCCATAGAAGGACCTTTGATAGCGTCTGCACAGGTCCAGAGTGGCACAAAGCTCCAAGGCTGCTGTGGGCATCTCCTTGCCATGGCGTCGCTAACATCTTCCTGAGCCTGGGCAGATGGAGTGAATGCGCCTGCTGGAACCTGGAGGTGACTCCCTGGACTCTCACCGCCCAGAACTAGCTCCTGGGCCCAGCTGCTTACAATTAGCCCTCGCTTTCCCCACTGGGTCTGTGCGGGAGTGAAAGTGAGCGCACAGGGCCTACATGGGGAGGGGAGGCTCATTCTCCCCTGGTAGCCTGTGGGTCCTGTACTTAGCAACTGACTGCTGGAAGATCCTCTCATGTGGATGGGGTAGATGCCATAGGCAGGGCCTGCTGTTCCGTTTCCTTTTGCCAGCTAAAAGTCTGTCCTCTGACTCTCGGGTCGGCTGTGCTGGGGGGTTAAGTGAAATGCTCTGCTCTGCACAGCCATAACCAGGGCTGCTGTGTGTGTGTGTGCAACTCCCAGGCTGACACTGGGGCAGAAATTGCTCTTCTGGCCTATAGCTTGTCTGTAAGGAGACTTCATCACTGTGGGCTGCCTGTGAGAATCCCTTAGGGCTTCTGCTCCTTGATAAGGAGAGTCTGGGTTTGCACAGGGCCCTGCACAACTCAGTTCTCCAACCCAAGGCAGAAGTACCCACAGCTAAATTCACTCTTCCTGGCCTGCTCTAGGCCACAACAGCTGTGCTGAGCTCCCTAGAGCCGAGCTGTAACAAAGCATAGGAAGGTGTTAGCAGGTCACCGCCAATGGAAACCACTGAACAGATGCTAAACAGTGGGCCAGTGTAATCCCTGGTGTAACTCCATTCAGTTAACGGAGTTACTCAAGGGCTGAATTAGCCCTGTGTTTCTCTTCATCTCTGGGTTACCCAGTCTCACTTGCTAGTCTTTAAACTCCCTCGTGTGTGGGATGTTGCCGTGTGTTTTAATGAAGCAATTAACCATTTGCTTTCCAACTCACCCAGCCTGGCTGCCTTGTAGCAGGGAGGGGAGTTAAGATACTTGGACCAATCAAATCCCTCTTTGTGATTGTCCTTCCACATTCTGTCCACACAGACCCTGTCTAACTCATTGCATTGTGAATGGTCAGGCCTAGTGCTGCCTTGCAGAGCCCAGGGTACTGCTCCCAAAGCCCAGAAGCAAAGGGAGAGCATGCTAGCTGCAGGGCTCCAACAGGTGATGCCTGGGAGACAGGGACAGTTTTCAGGCAGCTGCATGTCCCCCTCACAACTCTGGGCCCACTAAAGATAATACCTGCTAGGTGGAGCACCTCCTGGCTTAGCTGCTGGGGGGACAAGCCCTTCCCAAGCCCACTGCAGTGCCTGGGGTGTGTGCTGGAAGTTGCTCCTGTTCTGTAACACTAGAGTTTATCCTGAGGGGGGAAGAGCTCAGCAGTGAGAAGAGAGGGCATGACAAAGTCGCTTCCCAATCATACAAACCACACAACGCTCTCCTCCAAAGCAGCATTCCGAAGTGCTGTGAAGCAATGTTTGCTTTTGGAAAGGCTGGAAGCTTCTCTGATGCATTCTCCTGCCCCAGACGATTTGATTTGACCTGTCAGTGTTTTGTTTCCATTATTGACAGTGACTGTGAAATCCATGTATCCTTCCACTGCTCAGCTGTGAATATTCTAGACAGAGTGGTCTCGCATTTCTCTCCAGCAGGTGTGGATGTTATCTCTAAGCCTTGCTAATATCATGGCTGCTTCAACTGGTAATAGAACTGTGGCTTCCAAAAAACCCATTCATCTTGTATTTCTACAGCTCCTGATCTTATTCCCTTTGCCTGAGTGCAGCCAGAGCTGCTCTTTCTCTCCTGCCAATGGGACCCAGTATCTCCTGCCTCTGTCCTCTTCCATGGAGCTGTTTAGCCAGCTCCATCCATAGTGGTCAGCACTTTTCCTTCTTCCTCTCTGAATTCCATTCACAGCTACTCTCCTAATTGTCAAAACTTTCACTGGGCATTTGCTTTGACTGAAATAAAAAACTGCTGCCAGAGGACTTCTGTATTGCCCTTTTTAGCCCACGAAAGCTTATGCTCAAATAACTGTGTTAGTCTCTAAGGTGCCACAAGTCCTCCTGTTCTTTTTGCAGATACAGACTAACACGGCTGCCAGTCTGAAACCTGTCACTCCTGGACTGCATCACACTGGGCCCTGCTCCTGTTGTCGGATCGGTGAGGGCACAGGAGACTGCCTCTGTAGTTGCGGGCCTATTATTTGTTTTTAATTCTTCTTCTTTCATCGTCCTACGGGCTTGACTTCATCTTAAAAGGACAGGATGTTACTTGACTTTATAGGGGAAAAGTCAACTTTCAGTCTGCATTTCTCACATATCTGTCTTGTCTGCCATGAAGGGTGTGGGGAGAAGGTGTTAAATCATAGACATGCAGGGCTGGAAGGGGCCTCAAAAGGTCATCTAGGCCATTCTGCCGCCCCGGGGCTGGCAAGCAGAACTAAACATTTAGTTACTACTGAGCATCCCATGTACGTTGAGACCAGTCTGATCCCAAGAGCAAGAAACTAAACCACAGGCAGCCTTCTGTTCTGGGTAAGAAATGACATTCCCTTCCCCCGCCTGCGCCACACGTTCAGGTTCTCCCATTTTAAAGCTCTCTGTGAACATTGGGTTAAAAGCGTTCACGGGAACCGGAGCTGGGGGTGGCGGGGGACAGGCTGAGCTCGCAGCCACCTGCCCACTGTTGGCCTTGTCTCGGGGGCCCGGGCCGGTGCTTTCTCTAGGGCAGGGTGGTTAATGACCGGGCTGTGTCACATGCGGGTGCAGGGGCTGTGCAGCGCCGTGCGCTGGGCCTGGCCCAAAGCCTGGAGGGGGCCCCCAGCCCCACTGCGGTGAGGGGGGCTCTGGATTCTGCCCCACGCTGGGCGGGGCCAAGGGGCCCACGGGCGCTATCAGCAGGCAGGGCGAAGCCCAGCGCCCCCACCCGCTGCCAAGAGCCCAGCCCCGGGGCACGGCCCCTTTAAGGCGCGGGGCGGCTCCGGGCGCGGAGCTCTCGCGGGGCTTGGCGGCCGCGCTCTCGCGAGGCCGGGGCTGAGCGCTGATTGGCTGCGGGGGGTTGAATGTAAGATGGCGCCCAGGGAGCTGTGAGGGGAAAAGAGTCGGGCCGAGGCGGTGGCGGAGCGAGGCGGCGGCGGGGCCAGGGTGAGGCGGGGCCGGCCCGGGCCGAGCTGCGGCGGAGCGGGCTTTGCCGGGCCGGGGGAGACGGGCTGTGGCGGCTGGGCTGGGCGGGGCCTCCCCTCACGCGGGGGGAGGCGGCGGTGGTTCCGGGGGCGGCGCGGCCCCGCCGGGGAGGCGCGCGCCCGAGGAGTCCGGCGCGGGCCCGTTTGTTGTGTGGCGCTGCCGGGAGCGCGCAGCGAACCGAGACCCCGTGGGCCCGCTCGAGGCCCGTTGGCCTCCCGTGAGAGGAGGGGCGCGTCCCCGCCCTCTCTTCGCCCCGGGCGCGTCCCCGTGTCCTTCCCCCTCCCCTCTCCCAGCCGCGGGGCGGCCCTTTCCTGCGCCGCTGTTGCTCCCGGCCGCGCGCACGGGGCCGCTCGCTCCCGGCGGCGGGGGCGCGCTCGTCTCCCAGCGGCTGGGGGGAGGGGGGGCTCCCCCGCCCCGGACATGCTGCGGCCGGGCGCGGGAGTGTCCCGTCCCGGGGGCGGGCGGGCGGGCGGCCGCTCTCCGGGCTGCGCTGGGGGCGAGAGCGGCTGGTGCGGGGCCTGCTGCCGCCGCGGCGTGTGCAGCTGGAGAGCGGCTCTGCTGGGCCGCTGCGCAGGACCCCACCGGGCGGGCGGCCCCCCGGGAGCGCCCGGCCCCCGAGCCCGGCCGAGGGGTCTGGTCACGGGCCCGCAAGGGGCTAGAGCTCCTGCCTGAGTGACTGTCATTTCCTGCCCTGTCCGTCCCAGCATCTTGCCCCGGGCGTGGGGCTGGCCAGTTGTCCGCAGCTCTGGCTGACCCCAGACTTCTCTGGCCTGGAAGTTGTGTATCCACCCCAGGCACTGCTACAGCGCAGCTGGGCCCGCTCTCGCTTTTAGGGAACGTCAAGCGGAGATATACAGTAGATCTTCAGACCAGGCCTTGTCTATTCAGAGCCTTGGAAAAGCGCTGAGGCTCCTGAGTCCAGACATCTCTATTTTAGAGACAAAGCAAAGGTCGTAGTTGCTTAAAAGTTGCTTATATGCGGTGAAAACTGTTCACGAGATCAACCTTACTAAGCAATCTCCTGTCCTAGGAGACCTCTGCAAATTGAGTACCAGCTTGCTGCTCATTTATTGGAGAACATCTCCAGTAAGCACCTGATGGGTCAGGCTCTTGAGTGGTCTCTTAAGAAAGTTTTGCTGCATTGCACAAAACCTTAGTATATTTTGTAAAGTGGGTGAGTGGTTCAGTAAAGTACTAGTCAAGTCTGTTTACAGTTTTGTGTTTGTTAGCTGCAGCAAGAGAAGCAGATATTTTACATAGCTAAATTAAGAGGGGTTTAAAAAAGTCTTGAGGTGTAACCCACCATTTAACAGATGTGTATGGAGTTTAGCCTTCTTCCCCTTTAACACTGACTCTTTTTTTTTTTAGTTTTTGTTATCTCCTCAGAGAGCCTTAATTGGACTACTGGTCCCCAGCTCTGCCTAGTTACTCTATTCTACCTTGAACACTTGTGAGGAGAAAGGAGCAAGAAAAGGCCTCTGGACCTTATGGCAATATTTTTTTCCCCCACTGCTGCCTTGTTCTAAGTTTCAATAACTCCAGTGTCCATTGAAAAGTGTTATGTCAGTTCCAGCACAGGTCTCTGTCTCAGAGAAGAACATTCTGAACTCTACAAAAGATGTACATGGAGATCTGTTTGTTTTAATACATGTTCTTAAAATCTGGAAGTAAAACAAACTGGTTAGGAATTGGGCATGTCTTGTAATAATTAGTTAGGAACTATCTATTAAGGGTGTAGCATTATTATGATTATATTCATTTTGTGTTTTTCATTTTCTTAAGTCTCTTTTTAAAATACAATTTAACTTTAAAAAAAGAAAAGAAAAAAAAACTGGGGATAGAAAGGGCTTCTTTGTTCTGTCTTCTCCAGAATGTTACAAGTCTAAGAGCTCAGGACAAGTGCAGCAGAAATACCTGCAACATGGTGACTGGTGAGTCCAGATAGTCCACCTGCTGCAAATCTGTGTGTACATTTTCAGTATCTTTAGTCTAAGTTTTATGAACTAACCACTTATGCTCATGAACTTGAACTATTTTCCAGATCCTATTTAGTGGAAAATGCAATTAAGCTGAAAAGGGAGGAATTATATCCATGTATCCAAGCAGCAACCTTTGCTGGACAGTTTAAAAATGCATTCTGCCAAGTTTTAGCAGTGATGAGTATTCACTTCATTTTGAAATGGACTGTACATAATGGATAAACTGAGTGCATAAACTGATCCATCCTGATATTTTAATAGCTAATGGTAAAGGTATTTGCCTGCCTGCTATTATAAATTTGCGTACGTTCTAGTATAAAATATTTTTTTTGCTGTTGAATGCAATACTAACTTTCCATAAAGAGAATTATATTAAGTGTGTGCTTGGAAACCTGTACAGGTTTTTATTTAAAAAAATAAAAATCTATTTGTTGATGCTGAGTAATAAATATGCCTGAGGGAGGTGGTATGTTAGGTGGTCGAGGGGGGAGGCTTAGTCCTTTTTGTACTTTGTTTTTTAAACTCCTGCTCATTACAATGGAAAAAGAAGGCTTCAATACATGTTACCTTCCTGAATCTACAACCAGCACTAATACCTCTGCTATTGCTCATACTTTTGCCAAGGGGAAGAAGAGTGAAACTAACAAGATCCTGATCAGTTTAACTACTGCAGTTCCATATTTATGTAGGTAGCCTTGAAATGGACAAGAATTTGGTTGTCAGTTTAGCTGGGCTGCTGCTTAGAAAAACTGAGACTTGTTTTTAATTTCTCTCTCTAAATAAAAAGGGAGACTAGGAATGGAGCACTTGAGATTCCAGTCTGCCTCTTTCCCAATCTCTCAGGACGTTGGGAGAGGTAGAATAGCAGAGACTCCCCTACTCTTTGGTGCAAGGACCATCTTTGTTCTGTTTGTACAGTGCCTAACATAAGGGGGTGCTGGTCCATGACTAGTGCCATGCACTCTGGATAATATGTATATTCGATAATACTCCGAAGGTGCTTAGATACCACAGTGATAAATGCAGTGTAAGAACTTAGTAGAACAGCTGTCAGGAGGCTCTGGGATTGGGAGGGAGAGGAAAAGGAAACTTCCTTCCAGCTGACTGTAGGGGAAGTAAAAGTGGGCTTCTGATTTCAGCTGACTACTAGTCAGAAGCTAATTGAGAGACTGAACACCTGAGTCAGGTCAAGGGACAGTAAGTAAGAATCCCAGCACTTGTTCTACTTCCTCAGCTGTTGGAAGTAATGGATGGCACCTTGGTTCTCAAGCCCCTAGACCTCAGTGGTGGTGGGTCCCTCCTTATTTTTTATCTGCCTGTACTAGTAGATCTAGATTTCTGGGTTGTGGGTTTTTTTGCTTTTGGTTTTTAAGCTCTGCCACAGAGCAGTCAGCTGTATATGTGAAAACTGCTTCCAGCACGAGGATCAAGATTTTTCACAAGTAACTAGAGATTTTTTTGGGGGCGGGGGTGGTCGGTTTTTGGGTGCCAACCTTGAGACATTTGAGAGGAGTCTCTCAAAATTGCTGAGCACCTGCCTTCTGACAGTTAGGCCCGTTTAATGCATCTCAAATTGGGCACCCAAAGTCGCTATTCACGTCTGAAAATCTTAGTCAAGGTACTCAGGCCAAATCTCTGCAAACTTCAGTAGGCTTAAATTCCAACCAAACACACGCAAACATGGAAAACTTAACAATTCTCTACTTCAAAGTATCATCCTGGGTTTCTGTTTTCTTTCAGTGAGGTTTAATACTCATTTCAGAATTTGTTGATGAAGGCCTGGTGGTCTGCTGCAGCACTGAAAACATATTCGCAAGGCCAGGGTTTCATGCTGGTTTCAGCATGGGTGTAGATAGTGTCAAATGTTTTCTTCCTGAGAGAAGGTAAACTGTTTAAAGATGTTTGGAGTGTGTTCTTGGTGGCTTCTGGGGAAACTTGTCACTGAGTCGGCAGTGACATGAATAGCTTCGTTAGTTGTGTGTCACGTGTAGAGCTGGTTAGAAAGCTTGTCCAAGTGTAACTTCAGTGAAAGACAGATATTTTTTTAATCTCCCCCTCTTTTCCCCCCCCCCCCCGATTATCAGATAGTTGTATGGAAGCTTCTGCATGCTGGGTTATAAAACATTGTGGCCGAAGTACGGTGGCAAATGCAGCTATTCTGTATTAACATCCTTCTCTTAAATAAGTGAATAATGTAAGCTTGTACTTTTTATTTGTGTAAGCACAACAGTATAGTTGTGTTCACTATAATTGCTTAGATTTTTCCACAGGAACCCATTGCAGACACTTGTCACTTATTTTTAAGGTCCCATAAGTTCTGTTTTGCAAGAATTGCCTCTCACACATTCTCTGCCTTTTGAGATCCATACCTCTTTGACTGCAAGCCTGACCCACGTGCTAGTAGTGACTTGTATCCGAGTCCTTCCTGCATGTAGTGTCATGAGTGTGGTGCTGCCTGGCCAGATCGGAGTGGGATTCAGACCAACAATGAGAAACGATTTAGGGTCTGATCCAGCTCCCATTGCTAGAACTCTGTTGCACTTAATGTTGACAGCCTATTACTAAACCTCCTTTTGCTTGCACACTGCTTTAGAAATAACACTTTGGGCCACCTTGTTGAACGAATGTAGTCAGTCTCTTGTGACCAAATCAGTGCTGAAATGTAGTACAGGTTCTTTTTTCTCATCTATTATTTCTGTAGTCCCAATCACCATAATGTGTATATATAGTGTTATCTGTATGTGTCCCTGTCTCTTCTTCTGTGTACATAATTAGGCCCAGTCATCGAAAGTTCCCTATCCCAGTAATTGTGCCTGCAACCCCATATCTCCACACAGCATTTCATGACCACATCAGTAGTGGTAAGGTTACCATCTAAATGTGTTTACCCTTCACCACAAGTTATTACTGCCATAGGAACAAGAATACACTCACAGAAAAGGTGATAGTGAAATAGGAATACTTCTTGTATTTAAACAAGATAGGTCAGCAATTCAAACAGTACCTGTGAGATAATACCCCAGATGTTAATCTTGTTCTTGGGTGATTCCTCATTTTGGTTTTTTTTTCTCTGTGCTCTTACTTTCTCCCTGATCTTGTTGGTTTCTTTTGCTCTGTTTTCCTTTCTTCACCTTACATATATGTCCTTCCTACTATACCCTGCTTCATGTTGATTTTTTCCTCCTAATATTTGCTAATAGGAGTGTGAGGCCTACTGTTGTCCACTTTTTCAAGACCTCACTGCTTCTTTCCAGGTGCACCAGGCCCATTTAATGGAATCTTTGGATTTCAGCATTCTGTCCCCTGTCCTTTTAAAGAAGTCTGAAAATTCTGCTCCGCAAAGAGAGAGAATAATCCCAGTCCTAATCCCAGTGTAAATGTGGAGATACTATCACTTCATACTTCCCTATCTCCTCCTTCCCATTAGTTACCACAGAGTGTTATTTTGTTGCCTAATGGGTTATGATACTTGGTTCTGTCACTTCTGTAGCTATAAACCAATCCCTTAGGCAATAGCTTCTCAAATGTTCTTGATACTATATATAGTATTCCATGTTGTAAATGAACACATACAATTCAATAAGGGTTAATTTAGCCTATTCAGCACTGGTCTGACCTGGGACTGAGTGCATTACTATACGTCATCAGCAGGAGACAACACTCTGGAGAGAGCTCTTTATACAGGGCAAGTAAGCCTGAAGGGTGGGTAGCAGTGTCCAGTTGTGACTCTTAACAAGGGATTAATTAAAGAAATGCTTAGCTGCATAAAATGGCATGTAAAACTACAGCATTTGTCTCTTAAGGCTTCCGGCTGTCTCTGTTTGTCACGCAGAAATCCAATGTGTGTAAGATGTTCTCCATTGGCTTCATGTGTACCCTTGTACTGTATGACTATGAAAGTTGTGAAACAAGAGTCTTAACTTTCTCCTTTGTTAAGGAATCCTAAGGACCTTGCAATATGAATAATTCTCTGGAGAACACCATTTCCTTTGAAGAATACATCCGTGTGAAAGCACGAACAATCCCTCAGCACAGGATGAAGGAGTTTCTCGACTCTCTTGCTTCCAAGGGGCCTGAAGCTCTCCAGGAGTTCCAGCAGACAGCCACCACCACCATGGTATATCAACAAGGTGGAAACTGCATTTACACGGACAGCACAGAGGTGGCCGGATCTTTGCTTGAGCTTGCCTGTCCCGTTACAACCAGTGTCCAGCAGCAAACCCAGCAAGAGCAACAGATACAGGTTCAGCAGCCACAACAGGTCCAGGTAAACATCTTTGAATTATCATTTCGAATTTATGCATTAACTTGTAAGTCAGAGGTACAGGTGTCTACATTTGGGATGTGCAACATGCAGGTCAGAATTTTAAAAAGTAGGAATAATTTGAACACTAGTCTGTGGACACCTAGCTTTCCATGTATCAGAATTATTCTTTTTTCATATGAGAAGTTTGGTAGATAATGTCTCATGGCATTACTTCTGCAGAGCCCCACTATTGGAGCAGTTCCATACCTAGCAATGAGGTGGTGTAAACTTTCTGAGAAATAGTTGCAGTTTTGGTGTGTGTGCAACTCCCTCAAACCCTACATTTCATAGGAAGTGGCTATAAATACCCCATCCCGTCTAGTGGCCTATTAATTTTCTCTTTGCTTGCTGGAATAGTCATGGAACCAACCTCTCATTTTTCTGTTCTTTTCATAGAATAGTTCAGATAGGTGTAGGATACACCTGATAATTTTGGCTTAATTGTTGTAGTTCTTGGGCTGTTTTGAAGTTTTGCTGGTTTTGGGTCACCTTGTGCCTTGCCCAAGCTGGTAAGATCCATCTAACAAAAGTGAAAGGCATTCTCCTTGCCCTGCTATTTTCTGTTTCTTATGGGCCTGAAAAGTGTTTTGTGCCTTGGGAATGGCCACTCAAACCCAGATTGTGATATCTGCAAGGACTTCTCTGAAAGTCTGAGGAGAACTCTGACGCTTTCCCGGGGTATCTAGGGTTGTGAGGCACCTTGCTAGCCCCTGCCCTTAGCATGAGGAAGCCTTGTCTGTGCCTGCCAGGGATCAGCTCCCCAACAAGCCACAGGGTAAACAGGCACTCCCCTCCAGACCTGCTCAGTCTCTACTCCCTCTCCACAGGTTAGCAATATCCACACTCCAACCTTTGAGCCTTCCAAGCATCCCTCTGGAGTGACAAACCCTTGATGCACCAGTCACTCACTGAATTCACAGACCCACTGCTCCCAAAGAAACACTGTCATTGTCAAAGCACTCAGATCTGTATAAAGTGAAAGTTTGTTTAATGAAGTACTGCATAGAGATTCAAGAAGTAGCAAGTCAAAGTATTTGAAACACATGGTTACATGTACAATAAAATCATTATATGCCTTCTAGAACCTAGATTTAGTTAACCAGATACTGTCTTGTCTAATGAATTAGCTTACCTGGTCTTTGCAGTGTTTTCCAGCCAGGTTGGTTGTGACCCTCATTTCATAAGAAAGAACATGCTGACAGTTCATCTCTTCTCAGTGAAGGATGAAGGGTGTCTTTTTGCACCCAAAGGAATACCCGCAACAATCCATTGTCTTTACTTGTAAACAGGATCCCCCCATGCTAATGTTTTTTCCTGTGTGCTGCTTTCTAGTTGTCTTTACCGAATCAATTAGTATTCGACTCAGACTATAGATAGGCCACCGGACAATATACATATGACCAGCCAGAGAGAGATGAGCATCTCGTCCCTCCTACCTGACAGGAGAAAATTTATCACCACTTGGTGACTTGCCTTAACTTGCATATCCTTAAGAACATAATTTTCAGCACAGAAATATAACTTCTTGAATATTACCTGTATATGTGTTTCACAATGACTACTGGTTCTCGATAGAGACCTTACATGCCCCACTCTGGTGAATTATTATGCCTATAAGTGACCCAGAGGATCCCTGTAAAACCCCATGCATCCCCTTGGTGCCCTCTGTCAGTTGGCATCAAGAGGTTCCTGGGTCACAAGGACTATGCAGTGGACTCTGTCCCTGCAAAGGACTGATAGCCTGTGAGTGTAGGAGACCTTTCCTAAAATGGACCCCCTGGCATGGCCCCTGTGCAAAACCTCAATGCAAATCCCAGGCTAAAAGGGGCCATTCTCTTGTAACGATATCCTGTAGGGAACCCTTGAAACCGTTTCCAGGGTTCCCTACAGGATGTTTTCAGGGCCTGAAGCTGGGGTCAAGGAAACCCCTCTTGTGTCTTTTGGAAACTACTGATACAGTATGGAAGGAAGGAGGGGCTCCAGCAAGGATCCTGTTGAGACTAACCAGACACCATGGAAATGGCTTTCCAAGATCTTGATAGTCCCAAGAAGGGTAGGATTGTCTTATGAATGGTCCAACTGACCCAGATACATACAGAGAGGTGCCCACTGGTTCACCCTGGCCAAAGCACCAATAGTCAACACTTTTTGAAGGCTCTGGTGGAGGGAATGTCAACATTTGAAACCATCAGTGCTAAGCCTACTCATGCTATGTGGAGTCACTCTTGGTTCCTTTTTCTCCTCCTCAGATGTTGTCTTAACCACTTCCTTCTGTGCTCTGAGTGACACGAGGGCCTTTCAGAACACAGTGGGCCAAACAGCATAGCTCTGGGGATTCCTTTGGCAGCTTTACCCAGAAAGTCATACGCTGACAGCTTGGAACCCACCCACATTTCTCCCCCGGCTGTAGGAAGCTCTGCAAACTTTTCCCTTCTTCCCCCCTCCCCCCCCTCGCTTCCTGCACCTATTGCTCCTCAGCTGCAGGAGGGAGGGATCTCTGTATAGGGATCTGCTCCCCCATCTGCCCAGAACCCCCCCCGATGAGCCCCATTGTACCTGGACCACCCCAACGAGCCACCCTGATCCAGGCCCAATCAGCTTCATCTGGATGCCCCCACTGAGCCCCCCCATACCCAGACCCCCCTTCCGAGATCTGTGATCTCCCACCTCTGTGCAGCCAGTGGCCTGTGCTCCCCAATGCCATGCTAGAGCCGCCACATTTATTTGACACACACAATTTTCAGAATTTTAAAATATTGTGTGCAGAATTTTTTAATGGCACAGAATGCCCTCAGGAGTAGAGAGGTTTGGGAATGCTTTGAAGTATGGGCCAGGCATTGCTCTCTAGCAGCCCCTACTGGATCACTTAAGGAGTGGTGTTGGTTACACTAGCAGGGAGTGGCTTGCTACAATGTAGGGCTGTTGGAAGGATAAAATATTGAAGATTTATTATTGGAGGGAGTGGGGGGCAATGGTGATAGGAAAGCAAAGTAGGAATAGGTTCAGTATCCCGTTACTTGGGTCCTCACTCAGTATCTCAGTTCAGATTAAGTCAGTTTGGTGACAGTTAAGGATGTTGAAGGTTTCCTTAGCTTCTGGAGAAGCTGTAAAGAATTAGCAGCTCACTAAGCGTGATTCTTTAACTGTGTCATCCTCCCTTCTTCCTGGGTTTGCCTCTTACCTAGGTTCTACATCTATGGATGTCTGGAATAATGGGTACACAAACATAGGAACAGTTTTACAAGACATGCTAGTATATCAGTAGTTAGGATTTAGCTCTTGGGGAGTAGCAGGTTGTCTCAGGCCTTGCCAATGAAACTCCTTTCCTCTTCTTCTCCCTCGATTTCAGTAGGTATATGATCAGAATCTAAAACAAGGGTTAAAATAGGAAAATGCTGGTGGCGCTGCCCTGGCTGTTTCTAGGAATGGAGATGGCTTTTGCTTTGAAATAACCAGTCTTGCCACCTTTCTAGCTGCACTTTCCTACAGTTGGAGATTGTCGTCTTAGTATGTAATAGAGAGCCTACTCCCCTCCAATGAAATAAGAAATAAAAGTAGTGCCTTCTCCTGGGGACTAACGGCATTTTGGGTTGTATAAGTAGGGGCATTGCCAGCAGATTGAGGGACGTGATCATTCCCCTCTCTTCGGCATTGATGAGGCCTCATCTGAAGTACTGTGTCCAGTTTTGGGCCCCACTCCACAAGAAGGATGTGGAAAAATTGGAAAGAGTCCAGCGGAGGACAACAAAAATGACTAGGGGGCTGGAGCACATGATTTATGAGGAGAGGCTGAGCGAACTGGGATTATTTAGTCTGCAGAAGAGAAGAATGGGGGGGGAAGATTTGATAAGTGCTTTCAACTACCTGAAGGGGGGTTCCAAAGAGGATGGATCTAGACTGTTCTCAGTGGTACCTGATGACAGAACAAGAAGTAATGGTCTCAAGTTGCAGTGGGGAAGGTTTAGGTTGGATATTAGGAAAAACTTTTTCACTAGGAGGGTGGTGAAGCACTGGAATGGGTTACCTAGGGAGGTGGTGGAGTCTCCTTCCTTAGAGGTTTTTAAGGTCAGGCTTGACAAAGCCCTGGCTGGGATGATTTAGTTGGGGTTGGCCCTGCTTTGAGCAGGGGGTTGGACTAGATACCTCCTGAGGTCCCTTCCAACCCTGATATTCTATGATTCTAAGAGGTGCAGAGCTTTGTGTACATTAAGGCAATGGAACAGACTTTCTGATCTGAAAAAGTGAATATAAGGAAAGCAGTGGATACCCTGAGAATATGAAGCACAGAGCAAAATATCTTTTTAAATGTAAGGGACCCTGTCAACCTGATCAGGCCCCCCTTTGTGCACTGAGATCTATCCAGCATTCTGGGAGTGGTTTCTAGTGTCGCAGAGGGCAGCAATTAAAGCATACACCCCTTCATTGTGTGGCGGTCTCTGAGAAATTGGAAGATTCTTGTCCTATCAGCTTTTCATTCACATTCTTCTTGTTTTGTGTGAAGCTGTGAAAACAACATTGCTTTTTTTGTTTACTTCCTATTTGTATCTCTGCATCACTGATATCGGGACCACCCTACAATGAGGGCTTGAGTACAGTTAGTGTATTTTAAGTAGCTGTGCAAAAATAGTGCTGGGTGGTGGGGGTTTTTTGTCCAGGTATCTCTCATTGTGTTTTGAAAATCCAAGCCTAAAGAGCACCTGAATGACTTAAGCATGAGTCCCATTGAAAGTGCTTCTAAGGCACTTAGGTGCTTCTGAAAATCCCACCCAAATTTTTATCTCTGCCTCTTTTAAATACGGGACAATAAAGACTGATTTTTGTAGATGAGATGAGTATTGGTGAATAAAGGAAAAGAAATTACAAACTGTGAAACATTAGCCCATGTGTGACTTCATCTATTTCAGTTAACTGCCTGGTCAGATCATTCATTGATGCAGCTTTAAGTTGTGTTATTGGCAAAAGGCCAAATGATTCTTGTTACCTTGTAGGAAATCATATCAAATCCACATCTGCATTACAGTGTGGTGCACACTGCTCTAGCCCTGCAGTAGGAACGATTAAAGTTCGTTGTACTTCCTGTGAGTAGAATCAGCTCTTTTCAACAGGAGGGGACGTAAAAAAATGGTTCTGTGAATGATGCCTCCTTGCCTACCTCAGTTTTCCTTGGCAACTTTTAAGTTATTGCAAATGAATCCTTGAAACATTTTAATAAGACCTTTTGGAAATCTGAGCTTTTCAGGGAATGGGCGTTTTGGGTAAGGATCACTGTTTGGGTGCTACTGCAATACACACAACATAAAAGTGAGAAACAAAGTCCCCAGTCAGTGCTAGATCCCCGTTTTGCAAATGGAAGTCCATGCCCCAAAGAGCTTACCGTATAATTTTGAATCCAATAGGTGGGCCAAATAAGAGGGAAGGATAAGGAAAATAAGAGCATGCAGTTACATAGCTTAGCTCTTGGTTCCAGATGGCTCCAGATTGTCAAACCTTTAAAATAAATTTGCTACCCCCGAATAATGTGTTCCATGGCCATCATTGGTTCCCTGGTTTCTTCTAAACATCATAGAAGTGGGATTTGCGGCAGAAGAGAGTGGTGGCCTTGTCGGTTAACTCATGTGAGGAGTTCCATGCAGCCCCTTGTGCTGGGAAAGAATCATGTGGATGTTTATGGAACAAGCAGAGAAATGGCCATTCAAGGCTAGTATAATTGGTAGAGCAATGGGGCGGGTGCAGTATGGTAACAGGAGCAGATGAGTATGGAGGGACAGAGTTGTAAAGGGCCTTGAAGATGAGGACAAGTTTTAATTTGGTGCAGTGCGGAGCCAGTAGAGGGATTGGAAGATGGGGGGGGGGGGGGGACATAGCTTCATAAAAGTATAGGGTTGGAAGGGACCTCGAGGTCATCTAGTCCATCTGCCTCAGCAAGAGGGGGACCAAGTAAACCTAGACCATCCTAGACACACGTTTGTATAACCTGTTATTAAAAATCTCCAACAAGGGGGATTCGACAACCTCCCTTGGTAACCTGTTACTGTTCTTAACTGTCCTTATAGTTGGAAAGTTTTTCCTATCATCTAATCTGAGTATCCAATGTGGCCAATGACAGGCCTGGAAGAATATTTATAGCTGTTAAAATGAGAATAATTGAATCTTGGATTCCTGTCGGTCCTGAGACTGACTGTCTGGTGATACTGGCAGAAGGAGTTAGCGTAGACTCTTTTGAGCTTCTTCCAGATACGATGGTGAAATGTAATGTCATCAGTGTGTCTGTGTGAAGTTGCTTCTCTGTGAACCTTAGTGATACCTTGGGGTAGTTTTGACTCCATAGCTTTAGGAGAAAGAGGAAGGTAGGATTCTTTTTTTTCCTATACTAAAAATCAAGATTGTTCTTTGGGTGTAAATCTTCCCTTGCATTATTTCAAACCAAGACTATGCAATGTGGTGTTAAATGCCTGAGAACCTGAAAGTGAAATTAAGCATGTTCTTCTTGTCTAAGCAGAGTTAAATGGAAATGACGAACAGGTAGCTAGACTCTCAAAATTCCTCCAGTTCTGAAAATCTGTGGCAAAGGTTACTTAATTAGGAAAACATCAAAAAGCCATTTTTAACCTAAAAGTGTCCCTTTCATTTAAACCACAATGTGTTCGAGGTCTGCAATTCCTTCCAACGTGATACCCATTCATTAGTGTCCAGTATCAGGGGGTAGCAGTGTTAGTCTGTATCCACAAAAACAACGAGGAGTCCGGTGGCACCTTAAAGACTAACAGATTTATTTGGGCATAAGCTTTCGTGGGTAAAAAACCCACTTCTTCAGATGCATGGAGTTTCCATTAATTAGTGCTTCTCTTAGTCCCAAGGTTAGATAAGTCGACCTCAGTTTCTATGTATAAACACTATACCCCTCCTCTAAGAGTTATCCTAATTTATTTTAGTTAGTGCCCATTATGTGTGTGAAGTGACATGATGATTTTGGGGAACTGAGCAGGAACGAAACCTATTGCCTCATTCTTGAAGCATCCTACAGATGGAGAGATTTGTGAGTCAAACGTTTGCATTTTGTAGCAAGGTGAATATTAAAGAATGTTAACACAAGCATTATGATTAAGGCTACGTTTTAGTCACAGGTATTTTTAGTAAAAGTCATGGACAGATCATGAGCAGTAAAAAAACCATGGCCTGTGACTAAAACTTGGGGGCCCGGGACCCCCGCTGGTGCTGGGGCGGGGCAGGTGGTGCCGCACAGCCTGGGACCCCTGCTGGTGCTGGGGTGGGGCAGGTGGCGGCGCACGGCCTGGGACCCCCCGCTGGCTCTCTACCTGGCTCTGCCCCTCCCTTTTCTTCTTTTCCCCCCCCCCCTTCCCCGCAGCAACAGTTGGGGATGAGGGAGCTCTGGGTGGTGCTTACCTGGGGGGCTCCCTGGAAACGGCAACATCTCCCTCACTCAGCTGCTAGGCGGAGGTGTGGCCAGGCAGCTCTGTGCGTTGCCTCCACCCAGAGCACCAGCTTCGCAGCGCACATTGGCGGGGAACCGCAGCCAGTGGGAGCTGCGAAGCCAGTGCTCTGGGTGGAGGCAGCGCACAGAGCTGCCTGGCCACACCCCCAGGTAAGCACCACCCAGCGCCCCAATATCCTATCACATGCCCCTCCCCCTCTCACACCCAAACTCTGCTGCAGGGGTGGGGCACGGTGGCCCAAGACTGCCCATGGGGCTGCCTGAGCCACATCTGGTGCAGGGGCTGCTGCAGAGGTCACGGAAAGTCTCGGAATCCATGACCTCTGTGATAAACTTGCAGCCTTCATTATGATTAATGTGTTTGCATCAGGTGTGACCTTCTGTTGATTTGCTATGAGGTAGGCTGGGTCTCTAACGGTGCACGTTCTATCAGTGCTGACAGTTCTGAAGGGTATTCTCCGCTTCCTGGGATGCCCGATGTCTGTTTTATAGACTGGAGTTGTTTGGGAAGTGGTGTGTGATACCGTTTGTGAATTTCTTCAGTTGAGAGGTGCAATGAATTGTGCTGAGGAAATCCAGCATTCACTCTGCCTTCCCTTTGTCAGATCGCTTTGAGATCTCCTTAGGCAAGATGCTTCTCTCTTTTCCTATACTTCCTCTAGGATCTTGTTGATCAGGATTAGTATAATAAATTAATACAAAAGTGAGCACATCGGAGAGCTCTAGAATATAGACCGTATTGTCTGTTCATGGCCTCACCATTGAACTAAAGTTCTTGTGTTTGAGCACTAACGATTGAACTTTTGCTGTTATAGGTACAAGTCCAGGTCCAGCAGTCCCCACAACAGGTCTCTGCCCAGCAGCTCTCTCCCCAGCTCACTGTCCACCAAGCCTCAGAGCAGCCGATACAGGTCCAAGTTCAGATCCAAGGCCAGGCACAGCAGCAGGCGTCCCAGACAATACAGAGTCAGTCTCTTCAGAGCCCTAGCCCATCTCAGCTGCAAGCGGCTCAAATCCAGGTGCAGCATGTACAGACTGCCCAACAGATCCAGGCCACTGAGATCCAGGAGGAACACATACAGCACCAACAGATCCAGGCCCAGCTTGTGTCTGGACAGGCCATTGCTGGTGGCCAACAGATCCAGATCCAGACAGTTGGGGCACTGTCACCTCCACCTTCTCAGCAGGGCTCACCACGGGAAGGCGAACGGCGGATCGGCACCGCTAGTGTCCTTCAGCCAGTGAAGAAGCGTAAAGTAGATATGCCTATTACTGTGTCATATGCTATTTCAGGGCAGCCAGTTGCCACAGTGTTGGCCATTCCTCAAGGCCAGCAGCAGAGTTATGTATCTTTAAGGCCGGACTTATTAACAGTGGACAGTGCCCACCTATACAGTGCCACTGGGACCATTACTAGCCCCACTGGAGAGACTTGGACCATCCCTGTTTACTCAGCTCAGCCACGTGGTGACCTTCAGCAGCAAAATATAACCCACATCGCCATCCCCCAGGAGGCCTACAATGCTGTCCACGTCAGCGGCTCGCCAACAACGCTGGCTGCTGTGAAGCTGGAGGATGACAAGGATAAGATGGTGGGAGGTGCATCTGTAGTGAAAAACTCACAGGAGGAAGTGGTGCAAACTATCGCTAACTCGCTCTTTCCAGCACAGTTCATGAATGGCAACATCCACATTCCAGTGGCAGTGCAGGCCGTGGCAGGGACGTACCAGAATACAGCTCAGACAGTGCACATATGGGACCCGCAGCAGCAACAGCAGCCCACACCCCAAGAGCAGGGGCAGCAGCAGCAGCTACAAGTGACTTGTTCTGTGAGTAAAACTGCTTCTGTTATGCATGCCCTTGATTTTAATGACATGTTGATGGTGTGAGGGGAGAGATGCTGTCTGTCAGGTATCCTGTGCTTCACAGGATCCTTCTAAATATTACATGTCTACATTCCAATCATCTACGCATGTCACTGAGCATTTGACCAGTCCCCAGCTGTGCATCTGTGTGTCATGTCAGTCACTTTGGACAGGGGCATGATTATGGGGGGCAAGAATCAGAAGGTGAAACTGCTGTTCTGGCCTCTAGTGTCAATGAGGCAGTATACTTGTAGCAAATTTTATATTAGCAGGTATTTTTAATACTTCAATACTCTCCTGTGCTGAGTTAATGTTCTGAGCTGTTCTTGTTACTGTATTGGAATAGAGCCCCCGCTAGTGGAACTAATGTGATGCACCAGATGCTAGCCACTTCACCAGTCACTTTGAATCACTCCGCTCAGAGTAGCACCAGACACTTGACAGAAAGCTGAGGGTTTGTCAGCTGATGGAACACATCTCATTGATGATCAGATGTACCAGTCTGTCTCTACACCATGTCCCGTTTCTAGTAAATGCCTGGTGTGCAGGAATACAGACATAATATGAATGGGTACTGGAAACTAATTTAAACAGCATCTTTTTTTAGAGTGCTTGGTGTACACAATGGCCAAATATCTTGCTGTCTTTACAGGGAAATAGGTAACTTAGGGGCAAACCTCTTTAAAAACATTTTACATTTTAGCTTTTTTAAATTTCATAAATCCTTTTGTATGTAAATGTCTGTTACTACACACATATAGGCATGTCAGCTCTGAACATTGTGCTAGTCCACGGGAACAAGAAAGTGACTAGTATGTCACTAACGGAATTGCAAAACCCATGCACCAAAATCCACCAGCATAAATGTTTTTAGAGAAGATTTTTAAAACTTAAGATGCTAGTACAAATTCATAGATTTTTTTTTTTTCATAGATTCTAGGACTGGAAGCGACCTCGAGAGGTCATCGAGTCCAGTCCCCTGCCCTCATGGCAGGACCAATACTGTCTAGACCATCCCTGATAGACATTTATCTAACCTACTCTTAAATATCTCCAGAGATGGAGATTCCACAACCTCCCTAGGCAATTTATTCCAGTGTTTAACCACCCTGACAGTTAGGAACTTTTTCCTAATGTCCAACCTAGACCTCCCTTGCTGCAGTTTAAGCCCATTGCTTCTTGTTCTATCCTCAGATATGCACCCACCTTATAGCAGCCCCATCTAAGTTTTATTTGCCTAGTTTATCAATAAGAATATCATGCGAGACCGTATCAAATGCCTTACTAAAGTCTAGGTATACCACATCCACTGCTTCTCCCTTATCCACAAGACTCGTTATCCTATATATCGATCCCCGATCGCTCTGCCCTCGACTCCTGTACTCCACCAGGAGGGAGGGATAGTTCAGTGGTTTGAGCATTGGCCTGCTAAACCCAGGGTTGTGAGTTCAATCCTTGAGGGGGCCATTTAGGGATTTGGGGCAAAAATCTGTCTGGGGATTGGTCCTGCTTTGAGCAGGGGGTTGGACTAGATGACCTCCTGAGGTCCCTTCCAACCCTGATATTCTATGATTCTATCAAAGAAAGCTATCAGATTGGTTTGACACGATTTGTTCTTTACAAATCCATGCTGGCTATTCCCTATCACCTTACCACCTTCCAAGTGCTTGCAGATGATTCCCTTAATTACTTGCTCCATTATCTTCCCTGGCACAGAAGTTAAACTAACTGGTCTGTAGTTTCCTGGGTGGTTTTTATTTCCCTTTTTATACAAGGAAGCATTTATTTAAAAAATAATTTAAACTTGACTGCAACCTTAGTTCCATAATACACATGGTGGTGGGAGTATCCTCTCTTGCTAGGTGTCAGACTAGTAGCCATATGCCTCAGTGGTTTTCATAGGATGAAATTCAGGTTCTGTTGAAGTAAATGTGAGTTTCCACTGACTGCAGTGAAGCAATGATTTCACCCACAGGTTTTAAGGTCCGAAGGGATCATTTTAATTAATCCTTATCAGACGTCCTGCATAACACAGGCCATAGAATTTCACCAAGTGATTCCTACGTCAGTCCTATAACTTTTGGTTGAAGTAGAGAGTCTCTTTTTAAAAGGATGTCTAGCCTTGATTTAAAAGAACCCACCACATCTCTCAGTAAGTTCTAGTGGTTAATTACCCTCCTTAAAAACTGCCTTATTTCTGGTCTAAATTGGTTTAGTTTCAGCTTCTAGCCATTGGATGTTCTGCCTTCATCTGCTAGATTACAGAGCCCTCCGATCTCCAATCTCCCCCAGCCTCCCATGGAGGCAGGTACTTTAGCCCATGATCAAGTCACCTCTTAATCTTCTCTTGGGGAAACTAAATAGGTGGAGCTGCTTTAGCCTCACTGCAAGGCAGGTTTTTCCAGCCCTCTAGTCATCCTTGTAGCTCTCGTCTGAACTCTGTCCTATTTGTTATCTTTTGGAAGTGTGAACCCAAGAACTGGAAGCAGTAGTTCAGTAATGGTCTGACTAACCCCTCATACAGGAGTAATAACCCCTCCCTACGTCTGCTTAGCATTCCCCTGCACAGCAGTACAGCACACCTATAGCACCTTCTTGGTCTGCTGGGGAGTAGTGTGTCTTCTAGTGCCAGGAATATCTAGGCAAGTTGGAATTCAGTCTTCCATTCTAGAGGAAGGGTGATAAAGCTGCCAGGATAACTAAACCTCTGCCCTTCTGGGCCTGTCCCTGTGCCCACCTGTAGAGTTATCCTTTTTGGATTATTACTGAAAAGGAAAGGATGGGTCCTTCTGACCCCCTTTGCTGCTGTAGGAGTATCTTGAGGAGTTTGACCTGCTACTGCTGTGGAATGAGCTTCTCAAAACCCAGAGCTTTTCGCAGTACTTACTGATATGCGCCCCTCCCTGCCCCCAATATCCATCTAGCTACCGGCTGTCTGGGCAGGTATGTTGTTCATGAGTAAGGAAAAGTAGAAGCATGTCAATCAATTCACTGCACTGGGAATTGCTTCTCCAGCCCAACTGCCAGCCCTTAGACTGAGAGTGATTGTGAGGTACTTGAGGAAGATAGGCAGTGCTCTTCTTGTGCTAGACTAAGTGTCAGTGAAAACTTTGTCATTTCATGGGGAGCAAGGAGACAGCATTCAAGAAGAGTCGGTCTGCAAATGTGGGGCCATGCCTCACCCCTGGGCTCTGTCTTTCCCCAAGACAGTTGTTTTTGTCAAGTTAAGCTTCATCCCTGTTTGCCCTGATGGTAAAAGCAGAGCCCCTTCAATTAAAGGCCTTGGTCTCAGATTCTGCCCTAGCTCCACTTTCTGTAATATAGGTGCTGTTGTGTAAACAGCCGCTGGCAGGTGATGAGGAGAGCTGACACTGGGATGCACTCAGTCTGTGTCTAAAAACTCATGTCTGAGGTTATTACAGGGTTTGTGCCTTTAGCAGACTTGCTTTTCATTGGTCAGTAATGCTGTGGACTTCTCCCTTGTAAACCTTGCATTGTCTTCACCATAGTTCTGTGGGGCTTCAGTGAAAGGAGACTTCCAAAGGAAAGTACTTCCTCAAACATGCATTGAGTGAGAGAGAGAGAGAGAGAGAGAGAGAGAGAGAGAGAGAGAGATATTTATTAATTAATTAATTAATTATTTTTGGGTGATAATAAATTGCTTGATTTGGTATCTTAAATGTAGCAACGCTTCCATTTTTTGGATGTGCATGTGGCTCCCCCTTTTGTTAACTTGCCTTTTACCTTCTCTAATGGGAGTGGATGTGAAAAGGGGGCCCTGTATTGGCTAAGAATCCCTCACTTGTAAATTTTCAAGGTAAGTGAGATGAGAATACAGCCCTTAATCAAATGAACAATTAATCCCATTAGCTTTCAGTTCAAGTAAATACAAAAGCTCTGTATGAGGAGGTGGAAGTGTAGAAGGGGATTAAGTGTATCCCTTCCTGTACAGCTTGTAAACAACTGGTCAGCCCTCATAGGTCATGCTGGATGAACAGGTTGGAGTGACTGGCTGCATAGCGGGCACCATGTTGTGAAACAGTGTCTGCAGCTTGAGGTGACAAACTTTGACTCTGGGGCTCTGTTGTCAAGGGAAGACTCCTCTTGCAGTGTTTTTGTTAAACTTCCCAATAGATAATGTGACATATTAGAGACATTTTCCAGAATACTTGCATAGATTAGCAACTAGTTTTTCAGTAGGTTGGGAGCAGTATACGGAATTGTTGGTGAAATTGACTGGCATTTTAGTATCGGTGATTTGAGCGGTCACTAAATATGAAAAAACGTATTCATAAGGTAACAACAACAAATTCTGAGACACTTGGCAATTGACAGATCAAATGGAGATTTTCATGTTCTCTGCCTTTTTAAAGAGGGACTGTATTAAAGGTGGTAGAGATCACTATGTAGATTGCATGGTATCTCTGTTCTCTAGCTGCTCCTTCATGTAAATAGGTGAAACTGACATTTACAAGCATCCTATCCTTGCAGGATAAGGATGGAGTAGGCTATCAACAGGACACCACAATGTGCATGTATGTAGTAACCTACCCAGAGCCTGGCTTATCTAGTGGTATGTTGCTCACCTGGGATTATAATAGTGTTGCAACTGTTGTTTTTTGTATGTTAATTGCTTCAGAATAAAGAGTCCATTGTGAGTGGCCCTTCTTAGAGTAGGGTGAGCCTTCGTGTCTTCAAACTGCAATGTTGGCACAAGTGCCATTTTATGAAAGTTCATTTATTAGCGTAATTGCCATTGACTCTACTGGCAACTGTAGTGTCACCACTAGTAAAGCGGAGAGAAGATGCCCTTCTGATAGAATGGAACTTACTCAAGGTTTTTTTTCCTTTTTTTAAAGTGTTGCCACCTTGCTACTGTCTCCCACTAGAGGGCAGCCTTTCTCTCTAAAAGCTCCAAATACCTGGCTCCTGAGACCAATCTTCAGCGTGCATTGTATTGCTGTTAACTCTAGATCTAATTCAAAAACCATTGTAACACTGTTTAAGCTAATTTTCCCGTCAACCAGGGAAAAAGTGATTGAAGCGAATGTGACCTGATAAATCAATAGATTCACCTATTCTATTCATGAATACAGGAAAAAATTACTCTGAGATGTTGTGTCCTGTAAAGTTCTTTACCTCTGGTGAAAATTATTTGCCTCTCTGTGCATGCGTAAGTAAAATATAAATGGTCTTCATGATCTGGGTGAATGGCGGGAACACTTCTGGAAAATTTTGCAATACTGGGTTTAAACTACCCACATGGAATGGACTGGAGGCTTTTCAAAATACCTGCCTGCAGTGAAAATGTAGCTGGTCTTGGGGATCAGAGAATATTTTTGGATTGTTCATGCATGATCACTGATATGACACTAAAGTCCTCCTTTTATGTTCATATATCATGCCTGTTACTGAGATATGAGTGAGTTGCTATTCATCATGGCAACATTTACTACTGGGAGTGGGGAGATGGTGCTACAAGACAAGAAAAATGAGGCAAAAAAGACATGTTGCACCTCGAAGGAAATGTGACTAGAAGTGGTTTTCTTTCTCAGGCTCAAACTGTTCAGGTAGCTGAAGTGGAGCCACAGCCACAGCCTCAGCCTTCACCTGAACTCCTGCTTCCGAATTCTCTGAAGCCAGAAGAAGGGCTCGAAGTGTGGAAAAGCTGGGCACAGACCAAGAATGCCGAGCTGGAAAAGGAGTCTCAGAACAGGCTAGCCCCTATTGGCAGTAAGTGTCATGGGAGGGAGTTATCTGGCATGGTATATTTTACTCCATGTTTTCACCACTAGAAATTTGGTTTCAAGTAGGGATCAGGTAGCAAATGAAACAAGACTACACTTGGTTCAGACTAGAGCTACCTACCTAGTTTTCCTAAGCTCCAAATCTCTCTCAACCCTTCTATCTACCCTGACTTCAAGGATCATTTTCCTGTTCAGCAGAACCACTGCAATGTTCCATTCCTTTTGTTAGGAAAACTCCCTCCTGGTTTGAGTGGTGATTGTAGTTTGGGATCTCGAGTTCAATTTGTCACAGTGTGATGGTTAGGCTTGGCAGAATTGAACTTCTGTATCTATAAAACTTTAAAGGATAATATTATTTCCCCTAATTTTATCTTAATTTTCACAGTTGTAAGAAATCCTGGGGGGCACAGCCTATAATTATTTAATGACCGTAGTCATTGAGATTCAAAAAAATAACTTTACAACCGTTAAACACACATTTTCAACATCACATGTTAAAGCATACACACATAAATATACTTAAAGCAAACTCAAAGTATGAAATGCTGCTTATCTGTAAATTTCAATGATTATCAGTGGAAATCTAGTTTCTGTGTACAGTGAAATCGACACTTACCGACATTTACCAAATAATCTAATCCTTCCAAGCCTAAGAATGGTTTGTCTTTGCCAACTGCATCATGAAACATTCCAAGAAGTATTTCTGTTCCATATTGAGCTACTAGCTCAAGAACGTAGTTTGGTGGCCACAGAAAAGGCCATGTAGGACTGTGATGGATGAGTGCCAGTTACAGGAACAAAATAGCCCCATACACCAGCTACTTAATGAATCAGCAAATGCTGTTCTGGGTTTGTTCTGGCTTTCCCATTGCTGCAGGAAAAATGCTCCATTGCAGAGAATGGAGAAGGAGATGGTCTCTATATAGAATGGGTGGTGGTGTCAGTTTTCTCTAAATGTTTTTCCCTGCTTCTCTGAGTTGATTTATGAATGCTTAAGGTCTCCATTGCTCCCGATGTTAATCTTATAGTGGGGAGTATGAGGTGCTAAAGGAGCTGTTTGGAAGTGGGGGAGCATATTGGGAGGGGAATGGACAGTGGTGAAATGGAAGATAATGCTTGAAAAACTGTCTGTGTGGTGTGTGGTTCTTTTGTTTTTGTTGTTTTTTAGCAAATTCATCATGACATTTTGCTTTGCAGGACGCCAGCTGCTGAGATTCCAGGAAGATCTCATCTCCTCTGCTGTGGCTGAGTTGAATTATGGGCTATGCTTGATGACACGAGAAGCTCGCAATGGTGAAGGCGAACCATATGATCCAGATGTACTCTACTATATCTTCCTATGTATTCAGAAGGTAGGAGGGGAAAGCCCTCATCTCTTATTTTATGCTGTGTGCACACAACAAAACTGTGCATATGCTGTGATCAAACAGTATTTGTAGATAGCTTTCTCTGTGTAAGACCTAGAACGGGTGGCCAACCTGAGCCTGAGAAGGAGCCAGAATTTACCAATGTACATTGCCAAAGAGCACTGCCAGTGCCTCCCACCAACTGGCAGCCCCGCCGATCAGTGCCTCCCCCTCCCTCCCTCCCTCCCCTGCACCGCCGGATCAGCTGTTTCGTGGCGTGCAGGAGGCTCTGGGGGAGAGGGGGAGGAGCAAGGGCATGACAAGCTCGGTGGAGGGCGTGGGAAGGTGTGCAGTGGGGGCAGGGCTTGTGGCAGAACAGTGAGCACCCCCCGGCACATTGGAAAGTTGGCGCCTGTAGCTCCAGCGCTGGAGTCGGTGCCTATACAAGCAGCTGTATGTGGCTCCGGAGCCACAGGTTGGCCACCCCTGACCTAGAATGAGAGTGGCAGTTGCTATTAATATTAAGCTCTCTAGCTTTGTTTTATATATGGAAAAATGAATGAATTCGGGAAACCTCTTCTGTGATTGCTGACAGAACATGCAGCTTTAAGAATGGACAGTTTGAGACCTTAATTAGTAGATAGAATTTTTAAAGGGATACTAGCTTGCAATTAGAAACAAAATAGTTGCTATTAACTAAATGAAATAATGTGGTGAGAATTTAATGGGAAAGTCGTGTCGCCCCCCCCCCCCCCCCCAGAAAAGTGTAATGCTCTAGATCTAGTCTGTCCTGCTTAAAATCAGTGTTTCAGCTTTGACTTGCCTGAAATGTGAATGGAGGCCTATTACTTGGTATAGAGAAGAGAGAATCTGGGTTTGCAACAGTATTTTCTTTATTCAATAATGTGAGAGGATATTTGTACCTTAAAGAAACAATCCCAGTGCACGCAGGGCAATAATTGAAATGTAAATTTCAAATAAACTCATCCTTTTGTAAATAAGCTGAGGGCCAGCTACCTTTGCTTTTAAGATTCTTCCTCTTCTTTGTTATCCACTCATATAGCAGTAATTATGATTATGCCTGGCACACTGTGATCAGTACAGGGGTATTTGTAGTCTCCCAGGTGTACCCTATGGAACCTCTCCAGCAAATAATGACTACAGTAAAGCAGGAAATACATAAACCTGACTAGTGCCTGGGCCTTGAGCCTGGGAGGGGGGCTCATTACATCCCAAAGAGAGAGATCCTCTGATAGGAGCTTGCTTGATGCTGTTATATCGGACTATGTTGTGAATGTCTCTCTTTGCAGTATCTCTTTGAAAATGGACGAGTAGATGACATTTTCTCGGATCTCTATTATATACGGTTTACCGAGTGGTTACATGAAGTTCTCAAGGATGTACAGCCCCGGGTCACCCCTCTTGGTAAGAGCTTTTTCTCTGCTTTAGGAAGAGGCCTCTCAGACATGGTGGGGTAGGGGTGGGATGCAAGAGAGCTTTAAGCTTGCTGGTGTCATCTTTCTGAAAGCTGAGACTAGAAACAGATCGGAAGAAGCACTTGAGCAGAGGAACATCCCTTAACTTTCACTGAGCTGGGGAGGGAAGTTTTCCAGAGCCTGCAATAAGTACAAATATTTCAGAGGGTTTTGTGCACCAGACTGCAGTCCTGACTTCTGTTTTAAGGGTTTAGTTAGGCTTGATTCTGTGCACCATTTAACTTACTCTCTAAGGGGTTCTGAGAACTTGTTAATCTTTAGGACATCGGGAGTGTGGGGTTGATGCCCCTTCTAAGGAATGCATGAGTTGTTGAGCAGAGATGGATTCATAAATGGCAGATGAAATTCAGTGTTGATAAATGCAAAGTAATGCACATTAGAAAACAGAATCCCAACTATCCATATAAAATGGAGTCTAAATTAGCTGTTATCACTCCGGAGAGAGATCTTGGAGTCAGTGTGGATAGTTCTCTGAAAACATCCACTCAATGTGCAGTGGCAGTCAAAAAAGCGAACAGAATGTTGGGAATCATTACGAAAGGGATAGATAATAAGACAGAATATATCATATTGACACTATTTAAATCCTTGGTACGCCCATGTCTTGAATACTGTGTGCAGATGTGGTTGCCCCATCTCAAAAAAGATATATTGGAATTGCAAAATGTTCAGAAAAGGGCGACAGAAATGATTAGGGATATGGAACGGCTTCCATGTGAGGAGAGATTAATAAGATTGGGACTTTTCATCTTGGAAAAGGGACGACTAAGGGGGGATAATATAGAGGTCCATAAAATCATGACTGGTGTGGAGAAAGTAAATAAGCTTGTGTTATGAGGAGTAAATAACACTTCAACTAGGGGTCACCAAAGGAAATTAATAGGCAGCGGGTTTTAAAACAAACAAAAGGAAGTATTTCTTCACACAATGCACAGTCAACCTGTGGAACTCCTTGCCAGAGGATGTTGTGAAGGCCAAGATTATAACAGGGTTCAAAAAAGAACTAGAGAAGTTCATGGAGGATAGGACCATCAATGGCTATTAGCCAGGATGGGCAGGGATGGTGTCCCTAGCCCCTGTTTGCCAGGAACTGGGAATGGGTAACAGGGGATGGATGACCTGATGATTTCCTGTTCTGTTCATTCCCTCTGGGGCACCTGGCATTGGCCACTATCAGAAGACAGGATACTGGACTAAATGGACCTTTGGTCTGACCCAGTATGGCCATTATGTTCTTATACTACCTCCTAGTGGCTTACCCTTGGTGTCCATGAGGCAAGCGATCTGATTTGAATTGCAATGCATTTTGCTTTTAGTGTTCTGTGCCACTGATGAGCGACTAGCGCAGCTTCAGGTGATAAAACCAGAGATTTGCCCTAAGGCGTGGCTTGTTCTGAACTTAGTGGATTTTGGAATCCATTTGTGGGTGGTTTTAGGCAGAGCCTTGGAGATGTTGCAGCCAAAAACTTCTGAACATTAAACCCTTCATTCAGAGTAGGGTCGGGATGTCTATGTGGGCTTCACTCTGTACATGTGGGTGTCCGATAAAGGAACAGACCTCGCATGAACAAGTTATGCTATTGCTGCAGTAGGGAAGATTACACCTACTCAGATGAGAACTAAAGGATCACATTTTCAGGGGATAGAAATCTGTTTCTTCAGATTTTTATTCCCCTTGCTCTTAGTTTGGTCTGATCATCTGTCAATCCATCTTACATTTGTGTTCAGATACTTCTGCTTAAGTAGTGTGGTGGGTTTCAGATCCTTTTTTTCCCTCTGCCTGTTTGATTTATGCTTTGTTCTCTGTGCCATTGCATGAGCTCTGGGGTTCATACTGTTTGTTGTGTTGCTGTGTATCTAGGTGTTTGGAGTGTAGAATTACTCTTCTGCACAAAGGAAAATCAAGAGTACACATATCCAAATAGTGTTTGACCCTGTACGTAGACTGAAGATGCACATAGGGCCAACAGCTCAATTTGTTCCATTCCATCAGCTTGCTCATTCTCGCTTATTAAAGGTTGATATCAAAATGAGCAACTGTGAAATGGGAGAATTAATCTGTTTTCCCTTCCCCAAGGAATCTTTTTCTAGTGTGTATCCCTGGAAGTGCCTCTTGTGTTCATATTGTAACTACCTCAGTGGGTGATGCTGACTTCTGATTGTTGCAGGTTATGTCCTCCCCAGCCATGTAACAGAAGAGATGCTGTGGGAGTGCAAGCAGCTGGGAGCTCACTCTCCTTCCACCTTGCTCACTACACTGATGTTCTTTAACACCAAGTAAGTATTTGGGACAGTTGATTTAATGGCCAAGGAACTTGCAGCATCCTTGACAGGACTGACAGGAAACTGCATTGGACTAAGATGTGGTCACTGCTTTTTTAATGGTTAGGGACATGGGAGCAAATCCCAGAGCAGTCCCTTTATACAAGAAATTATATGCAGCAAAACAAGGAAGTGAACTAACAAAGAGAAACCTGGACTTGCATCTGCCTTTTCTTGTGTTATGCTGCTCAGAATACCACCTGACTTTCAGATGCTGGTTTGAACCCTGGCTGGCTCATAGCGAGTAAAGATTGCCACTTCACTGTCAGATGAGAGGCTAAGTAAGGCTTTGTTTGCCCCATAAATGTCCTGTGTCCTATTCTCACTGTTCAGGTACTTCCTGTTGAAAACGGTAGACCAGCATATGAAGTTGGCCTTCTCCAAGGTCTTGAGGCAGACCAAGAAGAACCCTTCCAATCCCAAGGATAAGAGCACGAGTATCCGGTACCTGAAGGCACTTGGCATACACCAGACAGGCCAGAAAGGTAGAGTGTACATGAGGAGAGGAGAAGCCTTCTTGAGAATGTCTCGGATTGACGGACCTGGTCTGTACTAGTCTTATAAAGAGACTTGCAGGTGCCTTCAGGTGGGGTGCAAGAAACCAATGTCTTTGACAAAAAGATCCTCCCCCAGTAGCTAGGTGATCAGAGATGAAGCACGTCTGTGTGTTTCGTGAGAGCATGATGCCTTCTGACATAGAGTTGAGTGGCTGTTAGCTGATATTTATCTGAGGCACACAGGCCTCCATCGGAAGAGTTGGGGATTAGTTTCCAGTCTCATTCTCCCAGGCACAGGCACTGTTGTGATGCAAGGGCCTCTGAGCAAGGAGAGGAATATGAGTGTTCTCTTCTCTCAGTGGAAGCACTTGACTCCTGGGTACATTCATGGAGTTTAGAGGTAGAGTATGGCCTGTTGACCTAAGCTTCCACTGGCTCAGGTACTGGCGTTTCATTTAACCAGACTTCCTGCCTTTCAGGGGTTATAGCTAGATGGTGGGTTAATGAGTGGGTCTTGGTGATAAAGCAGATAGCCAAAAGCAATACCTGGAGGTTTCTGGCTGATAACAAGTGAGCTATGCTTTGGGGCAGTGATCTGGCTCCTTTTACCTTTCCTGCAGCTGGTAACTCATGAGATGACGTATGATGACATAGGATTTGCAAACATTGAGGCTGCTTGACGTTGCTTATTTTATTATCTACTATTGTTCTACTACAGTTTCCTGTACTCAGTTTGACACACTGTGGTTTTTTGGGGGGGGTTGGTTTGCAGTTACAGATGACATGTATGCAGAGCAGACTGAGAATCCAGAGAACCCCCTGCGGTGCCCCATAAAGCTCTATGACTTCTACCTCTTCAAATGGTGAGAGCTCCTGTCACGTGGGGTTGCTTATCTTCTATAAATGTGTACCTAGATTGCATTTTATAGCTGCAGAAAGATAGCTAACTTTGTCTTTGGGACAGTATTTCTCTCTCTGTAATATCGGTATAGTTTGTATGTTAAATACATTAACTATGTAGGGGACTTCAATAGGAGGTGCATGCCCATAATAGAGGGTAAACTTTGGTCCAGAGTTGCATTAAATTTTTTTTACTAAAATCCTGTTTTGCTCACTATTTGAAGGGGCTAAATCATGAAGTGTGAATTGTAAGTGTTTATCCCAGGGTTTACTTGTGGTGATAGACGTCAGAGCGGTTGAGCTTGTGCAGTGGCCCCTTAGCCCACAGGTGCACTGACAGCACATCTGATGGAAGTGCCCTCTGCTTTGGGTGAGATGTTGGAGAGACCCAGGTGGTGGCAGCCACAAAAATGGAAGTTTGTTTTGAATATTAGACATGAGAGAGGTCTCTTAGTAGCTGAATTTGTGTACACTCCCCTCCTTCCTGGACAGCACCACAACTAGCTTTACTGAAGTGAAAATGGAGTCTGAGAAGAAAACTGACTCTTAAAAGGCTAAATGGTAACCTTTGGTACCCAAGTGAAAGGAGTTTAATCTTTCCTAGTGAATATAGGTCCACTATATAGCGGGGGGGGCTCTTTATTGTTAGCCTTGACTTAGTCCAGTGGCTGAGTGAGTCATTAAGACAGAACTCCCCTTTTTCCCCTAGAGGAGAACTGTCTAGGGCTGGGTGGGACCCATTGGTAGGAGAAACTTGTCCTACCATTGCCCATAATTGTACCTGTGTTTCCATGGCTCTTCTAGTCTTGCACCTTTCATCAGCCCAACATTCACTGTAAGGAATCGTAAAGCCCCAGGGTGAATAGGGTGAGGTTACCTGTTCCAGGACATGTTACTAGCCTGCCTGTTTCTGATTTTGTTTCCCCCCTTGCAGCCCCCAGAGTGTGAAAGGCCGGAATGACACGTTTTACTTAACTCCGGAGCCGGTGGTAGCCCCCAACAGCCCGATCTGGTATTCCATCCAGCCAATCAGCAGAGAGCAGATGGAGCAGATGCTCACTCGGATCCTGGTGATACGAGAGATTCAGGAAGCTATTGCTGTGGCTAATGCCAGCACCATGCACTAAGGCATCCTTCCCAGCTCAGAGGGGGTGGGGTGGTGGGGGGATGACGAGCAAGGATAAATTGTACAGACTTTTACACTAAAGGAGATGCCTACGTTTTGTTTTTTATTGGTGTAGTTATGAAGCCCTTTTAGGCTTCTTCTGTTTAAAAGAATCTAAAAGGAAAACCTACCCATTGTGTATCCTACCAAACACACTGAGCTGTTAGAACCATTGGAGGCTGCATTTCTCTGCCAGCTCAGAGCTGTTGAAACTGCTGGTTGACTTTGGTTTTTTATGATGTAGAAAACAGAACATGAGCTATGGGATTGGCCTGGATGGCTGGGGCCTCTGATGCCTCCTCAGAGCACGTGCAGCCTGGAGAGCGCAGAATGATGGATGGACCTGCTCAGCCAGCCAAGGAGAGGCAGGTGTCTCTCCTTTGTGCTCAGACATTAATTTGCTGTTGTCCTGGAAGAAGAAGAAGGAGGAGGAGGAGAGTGAACTGCAATTATGATTTCTAAAAAACAATTTCTATTCAGACCTTTAAGTGACATTTTTAGATGTTAAAAGTAAAAAAAACAAAAAACAAAAAAAAACAACTTTACCACACCTTCTTTTTTTGGCCTGACATTGAGGCCTTAAACCTTGAGGCTCCTGTGCCTGCTGGAGTTCTTGTACCATACACTTGTGTATCATATAAAGATACCGCCCTGTTTCTCTTATGTATTCTTACTCTAGTTGTTTATTAAGAATGACGAGCACGTCTTTTCAACATGCCATTGAACAGTGTCTTTATTTGGGGAAGAGCGCAAGAGCTGCAAGAGGGAGCATTTTAAAAAGATCAGTGTAATTGGGTTGTTCTCATCCCCCCACATATGCTTTTCAGTGTGATTTCCCCTGGACCCTTTTCCTCTTTCCCGCCCCTCCAAACTTTGAAGGTCTGAAGGAATTCACTCCTGTTAGGATGTCCAGGTCCTTCTTTAGTGTTGCACATTGGGTCAGCTTTTTTCTTCAGTGTAATAACTTACCGTTGAGAGAAACCAGTTTGCTGATAGAACTTCGTGTCCAGCTAGGAACAAGGAATTTGCTATTGCACCAGATCAGCTTATTGGTCCATCCAGACCAGTGTCCTGTCTGCAGCAGAGGCCAATGTGTGGGGCTTCAGGCACAGGCAACGCCTCTCCCCAGCCTCAGCCCCAAAGCACCTGACCAGTGGCTAGAGGGTTAGGGGAGAAAATGCTTTTCAGGCTGTATGGCTGGCTGGCTCGCATATCGGTATCATAGTTGTATAGTTTCAAGAGTTGTCAGGGGTTGTAGTTCTTTTTTTAAATCAGACCCACGGCACTTGCCTCACTGCATCTTCAATGGCTGCTGTATTTTGACAACATAACATTTCTGGTGGCTTCCGAAGAGAATAGATTGTCCGCTGTGCTTGAAATCGGAGCTCACTCTAGCGAGGCTTGAGGTTATTGAGCTACCAGCTTCTTGGACATGAGGAGGTGACGCTTCTTGAATCTGCCTTCCCCTCTTCTCCCTCTATTGCAGTCCTATAAATGGAAGCTCCTCCATTACCGTACGAGAGAGTCTTGAGGCTTCCATTTGTCGCCTCCCTATTTACATTTGCAAGCAGGGTGTGTCCTCCCTCTGATCTGTACATGTGCACCAAGGATAGACTCTGCCCCTAAATCAGGACTGTCCATAATGTTACCTGCCCGTGTGCCATCCTGTTTGATGTGGAGGCGTGTCCAGTGAAGACTTCTGGTCCTAGCATGTGATACTTGGGCTTGGTGGAAGGCTCCTTGTGTCAAACCGTTAGAATGCAGATATGCCGGAGTATGAACATGAGGAGGGATTGGCCCCTGAAGAGAACTTTTCGAAGCATAACTTGGTAAGAAATGTTTGGGTAACTGCTGCAGGAAGTCGTGCATCCCCTGTGTGGTGGGTTTGATGCTCCCTTGCTCCCTCTGTTGCTTACCGACATCAACACCCAGAGTGGTGAGCTAAGCAAAGTCCCACCTCAACGACTGCTGGCAGTATCTGGCTGATACTCTAGTCCCTGTGGGGCAGGAAAAGAGAATGGGGACAGGTGGAGTGTAAAGCTGCCATCATACCCTCAGCTAAGTGCAGCAATCGGGATTATCAGCAGCACTCTTCCTCTGGCAGGGAATTGTCAGTGTTGGTAACACTTCTTGGCTTGGCTACTATCCGATGCCATAACCTCGTCACTGTGTTCCAATGACCGCAGTATTCTCCAAGCGCCAGTTCGATTATTTAAGGACAGAGTTATGGGCTAGGTAGCCATTGCTCTGCTCAAGGGAGCAGAGACGCATGCGTATTGTGCTACGGGTGTCTGGGCCTGCATGGAGCTAATCTCTAGATCACTTGGGTAAACAGCTGCCCTGAATGTTGGATTTGAGAGGGGAGCATCCCGCCTTCTGCTCAGAGAGCAAGTGACCCTGAGAAATAAGCATGTGCAGGCTAAACACCCATCCTCAAGTCACTGTCCCTGGAATGCCGCATAGGAGCCTAAATCCAGCCTTCCCAGAGGTCGGAGTGGGCCCATCCACTGTTAATTAAATCCGAGCGCAATACGAAAATGGAAGCTGACTGGCTATTCTTTCCTCCGCCAAGTACTAAGTGGATGGAATGGTTTGATATATGGCTTCACATAACATTTTTGTGTAAGTATAAACTTGCCAGAGCTTGAAACAATTTGGCAGACAGACAAGACCCAGCAATGGAATAACAAGGGATGTTGCAGGTTAGGATTGAGTTGAGGTACACTGGCAGAGCTGTGTGGTGAAGCTGTATGCCATGTTGCTTAAAAATATACTTGATTCTCATGTATTTATTGCTGTTCACTTGCTACTGTAAAGAGCAAATCAAAAAATGTAACTGGTGGAGAGTCAAGTAATCCTTTAGGATCTCCACTCAGCCTGGAGAAGCACAACTCACTTGGACAGTATTGGGAGTTTAGCAGGCACAGAGGGCCACATAAACCTATAAATCTTTATTGGGTTTGCCCTAGCAAACACTGAGGATTTTCCATCCCTGGCCTGTCTTTTTGCTTTCTCCTGTGTATGGAAGATGAAGGTGTTGACTTGAAGATGTACAGTGTTCTGTACTGTCTGGTATCAAAATGTCTGATACCAGTTTCATTTCTTAGACTATCCAATATACTATGCTTTACAGATGACTTCACAGAACTTGTTTCAGTCTGCACAGCTCTATGAAACCAGTTTAAAATGTCTGCAATATTTCTGGAGTTTAAACCCTGTACGCTCTGATAGTGAAGAGTGATCCGACCCTTCCTTTCTAGAAAGGTCACCCTAAAGCCTTATTTTTAAGGACTCCTGGAAGGAACTCTACCCAGATTAGACAACAGCGCTCTGTTGGCCTAAGGTCTTACCCAGGTCATTGGCAAATCTGCTCCTGGTTAAATGATGTAAAATAGCTCTCTCTTTAGCACGGTTTTCTATATCCAGTTTTTCCACTCCCTGCTTGAGTTTCAGTGATGGACATGCCACCTAACACCTCTTGAGTACCAAACACCTTGCTGTTGTACATATTTAACCCAGAATTTACTCCCTTCCTTTGCCTTGTATGTGCCACTGATACAGGGTTAGCCTTGTCTGTTCTGTCTCCGCTTGGTTAGTTATTTAGTCTGAGGCCCCCCTGCATTTTGTTTTTTAATTGTTCTGTGCCCATTTGTCTCCACAGAAAGTGTAGCATGATTGAACATGGTGGCTTTGTGAAGCTTCTTGTGTTCTAACCTCCGACCTCCATGTATTGTCCTGTGTCTCATGAAATTGCAATATAACTGCTCTCCTACAGGAAACTTATAGTCTGTTACATAGACTTGGTGTCCACTGTGCCATCATGTCCTTATTTCCTTTTTTTGAAGGTGGTCACTACTGTAAAATTGGAATGATCAAAGCAGTGGAGGACAGCCTGTGGAAAACGATCATCCCCTGGCCCCTTACTGCAGGGGGAGGGAGGAAGAGGACAGTCTAAGTGTAACTTAATATAGTTCCTTCATTTTCTAACTTCTTGATTCCTAGACTCTCGTGTTTCTGGGAGGAGGTAATCTGCTGTATGTCTGAAGCTGTTTCCAAAGCATGCTGCCTTGGCCTGATTCGTTGTGGGAGCTAGAACTTCCATTTTAGGATCCAGAACCTGAAAGTGACTCTAAACAGGAGTCCTCCCTTGCACTGATCCTCACCGGGTGGAAATGAGACAGATTGCTCTGACCTAGGAGAGAACAAGTCCATTTGCCTGGTCAACTTAGAATTGAACAAAAGCTATGTCCACCACCCCAAGTTCTCTTGATCAGTCGCCACATAAAAGAAAGGGGACAGTGGCTGAAAAGAGCCCTTTTCTGTCTGTATGGGACGGAGGGTTTTACTGTTCCCTTTGTTTGCTGGACTGTCTGAGGGGTTGCATGATGGCTGCACACTAGGTGTAACCTATTTAATAATGGTTAATCTTAACGTTCTGACTCTTACATCACTGTTAAAATGGGATAGAAACTGCTACAGCCTCTGGCATGGGGCCCTTCTCCCAGCCGCGCATCCCGAGCTGCTAGGTTCCAACAGCAGCCTACGGAGAGACTTTTCCTTCCCCAGATATTTTAAGGAATGCACGTTGCCCCGTCATTTCAGCCTGTTCCGTTTCATTGGAGCCAATGCATAGAAAACATCCAAGCTATTGCTGACATCTTCCTACTGTAAGGAGCATCTCGAACCCTCTTCCAGGAGAGAATGGTTCATGTTCTGGGGGTGGGGGATATTAAGCTGCCAAAAGACATGTGACGCAATGGCTGTGGCACTTTGCCTGCCAATCCCTTCCTCCAGTGTGGCTCTGGCACAGCTCTCAGCACTGCAGTAGACATTTTTGCCCATATGGCCTGTGCGCAGCAGCCAAGTTTCCAGTTGCCTGCTTCCAGCTGTTCTTGCTACTGAGTTAATCAGGAGGGTTAGGGCAGGACTGAGTCCAGCATAAATCAGGAATAAATTGGGTCTTGGTCTCTAATGAGGGAATGTAAGAAAAGAGCACGGGGTGGGTAGGGGATGCATCTCACTAAGGCTGGTTCTAGTTGCAGCCCAGGTAATGGTGCAGCCTGCATGCCAGAAATGTCTTGTCCATCCTCCCACATTGAACCCTAGTCTGAACAGCATATGTCATTGCCATCCCGCAAAGTGACCTTCCAGCTCTCCAGTAGCTTTTTCCCCCTGTGAGTTACTCACACTGCAAATCATTTTAAAGAGATGAACTCAACTATTTTTTTAATTTAACTTTACTCTTATACCCTCTGATCTTTGTAATCCCCTTGGAAATGAAATGTCTTTCCCTGCAGCCTTTGTAGTCTGTTTGACAACCATTAAACCTTGCCTTGTGTTTCTAATGGAACAGAAGCTAACTTGCCTGTCTGTTTACTACTTTGTGCTCTAGTATCACTGCTGAGGTTAGGGTAAATGTGCCTTGCATTGGAATAGGGCAGCTGTACCACCATCGTCTTTCCTTTAAAATAAACAAAAGATCTTAAGCAGGCAAGACATCCTCACTTCTGGCACTCTTACAGTAGGCAACATTTACTGTTGGTGGAATGTGTCACTTTAATAAAAAAAAAGAAAAAGAAACATGTCTAAATGCTCTTCTGCCTGAGTGCTCAGTAAGACCAACTGGAACAACTGCCTTAATATCACTACTCTAAGCCACTTTTGGTATGTCAGTCAGGACATCAAATCCTAAACTGATAGCATCTTATCTCCTTCAAT